CAGCAGGAGAACAATATTCAAGGTGGGGATGTGGAGGGACCAAGGTAAGCTGTCAAATCTTGTAAAATGACTACTTACCATAGGATGGCACCAAGGCACACAAAGCGCCATAATCACTACGCTTGGTATTTTAGACTTTTGATTCATCCAAATGGTGCTTCAAATATATAGTGTATTAATGCATAACAATACACTTGTATTTAAAGTAGCAATTTATAAATAATTTCTTCAGCACTCTGGCATTTCAATAAGCGTTTCCATTATTTGAAGTGATGCAAGTTTGGTTTACATGCCCTTTAGAATGGCTGCCATAAGAACATCTATTTTGAGTATATCAATACGTGCACAAACTGATTAGTAGCTTAATAAATGTTAATTGGGTCAATCCACTGCACCAAAATATAGTGTAAATTACTCGAAGCAGGTCATTCTGCCCCTACGCTGTCACCACAGTAGAATGATTTCTAAACACTTCTGTAATTGAAAATGTTAAGCAAGATATTCTCCGTAATTAAAGGTAATGAGGCTGCATGGTCTAAACAGAACAATAGCCAAGTTAATATGTGCTGCTAAATATATCAACTATTACTTGCTAACTTACCTACAAATAGTGATAGACATTTCCACAAGGGCAGAAATCCACAAATAAAATTGCACAGCAGGACTGGCATCCATCTTTAATGAGCCCGAACTGTATCTGAATGAGTTTCGAGGCTGTGTTTGTGTGCGGAGGAAGAATTGCTGGTTATTTTGTGCTGGGGTTTCTGTATCCTTGAATGGGTAAGACTGACTGAAATAATTAAGTGGTAATGTATTGTAAAAATTCAGAATGAAGGTCTCCTGAGTTTAGTAAGAGATGCTGCGGCAACTCATGCATGCAGGGCCACAGAGTGCTACGCACGCAGCATAAACACTTGTTATTTCCTGATAGCATTACAGTGAACCGCCTCCTGGTATCTACACTACATATCCTCCTGTGCCCAGTTGTGTAAACAGTTAACATAACAAACCTTAATAAATGTACTTTATAAAAAAAAAAATCAATTGGATGTTCCATAGGCATCATTGGTGCTATGAAACCACATCTGTGCTTCATGCAATGCAGTATTCTGTGCTTCATGCAATGCAAATAATTAGTTGCTCTAGGCTCCTTCCATTGTTCTTTACTCATCAATATATAGCAAGTACAATGCGGGTTTTCAGCCCAGGACTGAATGTAATATATAGCCCAATCACATGTGTTAAACAGGTTCTGTGTACATGTAGACATTCCTGTAACATGAACACTGCTTGGCAGAACATAGAGTACTATGTTTCTGTAAGCAGCTGTAATACTCATTTAAAATGCATTTGTACAAACATGGAGCTTTACATGTTTTCAGAAAAGCTCCTCTAAAGAAGTTAGGTATGGTAGGGGTTGCCTGTAGCATTAGGGGTAGTTAGAATTAAATTGGGTTAGAGAATGGGCATTGTAGGACAAAATGAAAATAGGATTAGAAGGTTTTTATTGCTAGGATATTTGCCTTCAGTATATCATGGACTGTGACACACGTTACTTGGCCATCTAAAGCAACAAACGTTCAAGGTGATAGCGATGATGTTTGTTTGGGTTTTTTTTAAGTCAACATTTCTTATTTAACTTTTTAAATAGAATAAATAACTGGATATGTATATGTTTGATTTCTTGCTTATTTTGTTTAAATTGCTGATTATGGTATAAAGCAGGGGTCAGCAACCTATGACATGTAAGGCTGCCTTTGCAACACAAGGCTGCCAGACCCAAACAAGGTGTCTAAGGATCTCCCCAGGAGCTGGCCTGAGAGAGGTCTCAGTAGGACAGCAGGACATCTTCATGATTGCAGTAGGCAGTGACGAGAAGCTCTCAAATCTCTTCATCCCAGCCCTTGTGAAGGAGAAAGCAGCACACTGAATCACCTGCCTGTCCAGCCCGGTCCCAGCTGGGCCCCTGAGAAGCAAACTCCTACTGCTAAATGGTAAGCAAAAAAGGGGTTAAAAATAACATCAAACTACAGTAAATGTGTAGGGTTTGCAGTGTGTGTTACAGTTTTTCTTTCCTACAGTTTATGTCTAGCAGTGTGATTGTGTGTGTTTAGCATTTTGTGTGTGTGAATTTAACATTAGCACAATATCAAAACTTCTCACACACATACATTTAATAACAGAGCCCACATACACAGAAACAAACGCTACAAAGAAGCTACAGTACCCATACATGACACAAGCAGCATACAGCAACAAATGCACTAATTAATTCATTTTTAAATTGTACACCAAGGAACTTAAAAGTCTTGTTTTTGCACAGTGCTACTAAATGATTGCCTACCCCTGGTATAAAGTATGGAAACTATACTACTTCCTTGTTTCCATGCCTCCGAAATTGATTCAAGGTAATGCCCATAATACGAAAAGGGGCATGCAGAGGCATATAACCTCAAGGACCTTGCAGAGAACGCGGTTGAAGCACTCTTGGCAGGGACCTAGTGCCCGTTCACATTGCTCACGCATCGAAGGATGCGCTCGCCCTGTGATGCCCGAGAACAGAGACAAAATGTGGGACAGTACCCAAAAGCTGAACTGTACTGTTAAAATCTGAATTGTTGGGGAGGTGGGGGTGGTATAACTAGATGCAGGTCAATGTAGCACAATGGAGTAGAATTATGGCAAAAATGCTAGGATTTCTTTCCTCTCAAGCAGCAAAATATGGGAAACAGTAGCATTACAGGAAATAGAATTTAGTGATACTTTCAAGCTTTATTTCAATTCCATGTAACTTGGCATGCCTTTGCAGAAATGAACAAATAAGCATTTCAATGTAATTTGTACAGCAAGGAAATACATTTTTAATGCATCCGGAAAAAAAATTAAATTGGTAGAAGAAGCTTTTTTCCTTGAGCAACAGGCAAAGAAGAATCCATTAATACAACTCATTGCAATATTCTAGCCAGGGAACACTACCATAAGTAATGCAGAATGGCTTGGAAAGGTCAGGATCAGGGTCATGATTGATCCAAGTGAGACAAGCAAAGAGATATTTCTGTAAGGCACCATCTGACTTTGAATTCTTAAACAACTGGATGCATATCAAAGGTAGAGACGTTTGCAAAACACACAGTGTGTACAGATATGCAAGAGATTAATGAAGGGCAAATGGGACATAATAGAAACTTAAAAAGAGAGCAATGCCATTTCTTATGGGAGATGCACACTATTAGAGAAAGGAAGGCTGTGTGACATGGTGTTTGAAAACATGATCCCTTTAATGACATAAAATAATCCAGTTGGGTCCACAATTCTCTGGTGAGGAATTTCTGCTTTCCCTAAAATTCCTAATGAATTTAGTAAATTCCCTGCTAGTTGCTCTGTAGCCATTAGCCATTAGTTACACATTAGGCTGGTTTACCATAGAGTAGTGATTCCTTGTCTTGTTGGTGTTCTCGCATGACTCTACAACTCTACCAAATAATTGCTTCCAAATTCCATCTATTTCTCTCCCATTGGTAGTTCAGAAAACAGTGCAAATAAAGTGTAACTTTGTAAAGTGTACAGCGGCAAATATTAGAGTTACACATCCCTAATAATAGTATGTGTCCCCTTTGGCTAAACATAAAAGCAGCCTCCAATAATTATTATTACCTTGCACCCTCAGCAAGAAACATTACATTCCCTGGAAAATGATAGACACATTTGCAGCTATTGTGGTTTCCAGCAAAGGTAGAACTTTGATCCGGCTTCCTTTTATTGATTGTTTATTATTAAATGTAAGGGTTTGAGGGGTTATTTGTTGTTTTGTTTTGTTATGAGATATATATATATATATCTTTGTCTTTCTGACAAAGACATATCACACATGGGTATTAAAATAATATATAGGTTATTTATACATATTTTAGAACCATTTGTTAAAGACTTATAAAATCCAGTATGGTAGAACATATTTGTATGCTTTGTATATGCTTGGTCCTTCAATGGCATTACTAGTATTATAGCTTTCTTATATTAAAGGCAAAGTTTGTAAATAATAGAACAAACGCTATAACTGGCACAATCTATTTGTTTTTACAATCATGCAATAAAAATATACATATTGTGTGTACATTAGGAAATACTATACGCATATGACTTGACATCCATTTGGACATGACCTGTTATTGTTTATGTCCATGATGACGTAGCAGTTGGCCAATTTATTTATATTACTTATAGGGTCCCCTTAAGAAAACTCTGATAAAGGTCTTTGTTCTGTGTACTTAAAGGGACACTACAGACTCCTAACAGCTTAATTAAGCAGTTTGGGTGTCCCCGGAGTTTCATTGTTTAATTATCTGTCATTCAGTTCTACCATTTGTGTTTTACTTTATGAAACACTAGCCACACCTCCCCTGTCTGTGACTGACACAGCATGCATGAAAAGATGGTTTCATTTCAAATCAAATGTTAACTTGCTTTAGAAGTTTTTACCTACTGCTCTGTAAATTGAACTTTAATCTCACACAGGAGGCTCATGCAGGGTCTAGAAGACTATTAACATAACAGGATACTGTGCAAGAAAGGGAATTTAAACATTAGATGTCTGTGTACAGGATGTGTTTAGGAAGGCTGTGCAAGTCACATGCAGGGAGGTGAGAATAAACAATGTGATTAAACTCCTAAATGTCAGAGAATTGAGCAGTGAGACTGAAAGGGCATGATATGTACACCAAAACTGCTTCATTAAGCTAAAGTTGTTTTGGTGCCCATAGTGTCCATTTAACCCCTTAACGACCACTGACGGTTCAGGACCATCATCAGAAAAATCCCATTGAGGACCGGTGACGGTCCTGAACCATCATAACGGTATTATGTACTTATCTGACCGCCGCCGCTCCTCCGTGGTGGCGGTTGTGGTGGCAGTCCAGGCACTGGGAGCCCTATATATATGTGTAAGTAGTTGTGGTTGCAGTCCTGGCACTGGGAAGCGGGAGCAATATAAATGTGTAAGTGGTTGTGGTGGCAGTTCTGGCACTGGGAGCCCCCTGTCTATTAGGGTAATGGGCAGGGGGCTCCCAGTGCCAGGACTGCCACCACAACCACTTGGGCAGGGGGCTCCAAGTGCCAGGACTGCCATCACAACTACTTACACATCTATAGGGCTCCCAGTGCCAGGACTGCCACCACAACCACTTACTAGACATGTGCAATTTGTTTCATGCAATTCAGACATTCGGATGCTTACCAAGTTCCAAATTGCCAAAGTTCGGTAGTTCGGAGGTGCCGAACTGAACGCCATTGGTCCGAATTGCCGAAGCAGACAAATTTTTTTACTTACCTGAATTTCCGAACCAAACCAAATTTTTTGCCCATGCACATCCCTATGCAGTATCCTAACATAGTACTTATTAAATACCCGAAGGCAACAGCAAACTTCCATTCTATGATTAGAAGGCATTAGCATGAAAACTATTATTTACAAGTTTCACCCAAAAGACAGAAGAATATGTGACATTTATTTTAACACCCCTTATTAACTAGGAACGTGTTCCTACCATCTGCCTAGTAAATGTGGTAGGCTACCTTTGGCACTTCAGACTACATATCCCCTGATTCTTTGTCAGCATTATGACTGTAATAGCATTATGAGAGATGATGTCCACAACATATGGGGGGCCAAAAGTTGCCTACCCCTGGTCTAGTACTATTGTATCCCAAACTGCAAAAAACTGCAGTGCAAGCTTAACAGAATAATTTCTGTGCATGAATGTGTGTCATATAATAAGTGAAATTAGAAGAATGCAAGCATACACTTTCAAAGTAATCAAAACAGCTCTTCCCAATACTATGGGCATTTCTTATAGATATTGATATACTTTAATATATTGTCCTGTGAGATCGTATGTATCCGTTCTCTGCATAAACCTCAGCTGTCTAACAAGGTTCTTCTAATAGCTCTTGAACAAGGGACATGATATGTTCAAAGGTTTGCTAGACCCGCCAACATGAAAGACGGATCTTACGATCAAGGTCCCGGGGTCTTTTACACCTCTGTGATTTCTGCAATTTGCTTTTAGATCACCAATTTTGCATCATGATTATGGGACTTTTAGATGTTACGCTGTCTCATTAATCAAGTCATTTTAAATATGAATGAGTATTTCACAGCTTTAACAGCAACCAAAGAGGAATTTGGCTCCAGTACGTAGTTCATTTAACTCATGCACCTGAGCTTAGCCAAGTGATAATGCAGTAAAAGCACTGGAGTGAAAAAGACTACCTAGGAAAACATTTTTAAAAAGTTCTAAAATTGACAGAGGGCACAATAATCCATGAAGTCTATTTTAATTTCACATAAATTGTTTCCAGCAGGCCTTTGCACCAATGCAAAAATGTATTTAAATTATACATTAAGCACCATAACCACTACATATGTTTGTTGCAGTTATGGTGATGTTGGTTATAATGCAATAACTCTATGAATACAGCACCTCTAGTTTTGTTAAACTCTAAGTGAGTTACTCATTTTCCCAACATTCCAATTCCACTGCCTCAGATTGAGTGAGACTCAGAATGGGTTAATTGCAGCTAATTAATTAATTGCTAACTTGAATTAGACTAACCCTTAGAAATATTTTAGATGCACAACGAGGAATGTTCCAAACTCAGGTGATGCAGAGTAAACCCTTCGCCAGCTGACATACCAGTTGACAACATTGTTTCAAAACACAGAGGGACTGCATCCATAGATTACTTGCAAAATAACCACTCTGTCTTGACCACAAGTGGATAGCCACTGGAAGGAGGAGGCAGATTATATTTATCAGGTTCCATGTAATTCATATGATACCAAAGAGTCATGTTTACTATGTAATAAGGGTGTTCAATCTAAAATATGTTGCCCAGCTAATGCCAACCTACACATACGTACACAATCAAATGCATACATACCCAGACATTCAATCACATACAAACATGGATATGACCAAAGTCACACAAAAAATGCACAGTCCCATACATAGGAAAACATACGCAGTCACATTGTGAAACAGCATCAGTCACAAACACACAGTCACACACAAACACAGCCATACATATATAGCCATAAACAGTAAGAGTCACCTACACATACTCACACATACAGAACCTAAGTTGTGAGCACCGGTGAGAGGAGGCCAGGGACCCTGTGTCTAGTGATGGAGAAGCAGGGTCTCTATTCTATTTCTCCTATGCACATGGCACAGTGCCCATGCAGTGGGTGCCAGCATATTACTCTGCGACTGCTGACACTGTCAGATGAAGATGCAGCTCTCAGTCTGCCCTGGGGGGGTAGTTTCCTAGTTGGCTTTGCGGTACCCACTCCCTCTAGTACTTAGTGATAATTGCCCCCTCTGCCACCCTGTCACTGAACTTCTGTTTAAAAAAATTAATTAAAAAAACTAGTTGTGCTAACACAAACACAACATGAAATGTTTATGCTCCTAATCCTTACTCAGTGTAATGAATAGGTCCACAATAGTATAGTATTATCTGAACTGACTGTACAACATAAATAGGTGATAATAATTTCACACACATTTCTAAATGCAACCAAATGTTTAGATGTTGCATCTTTATTGGTATAATCCCCATTTGGGATATACGTTCTGTCCATGTTCAGGTCTCAAGTCAGTGTAATGTAATTGAATCAGTTCTTGGTAAAAGTATGATAATATTAATAAACTCACATTACTCTGGACTGTCTTGGTCAGTATATTTAGATATTAGTTGTGCAACCTTCATTCAGTATATATAGTGCTATGCCTTTAATAATTGAAGGCCATCCTGATAAACATAGCAGTGACAGTCCAAATCCGGCATTACGTATGATAAAAGACATAAACAATACAAGCCCAAATAGTATAAACACAGTAAATTAAAGGATGGAAAGGTGAGAGAATGTTAATAACATATGTGGCCTTGAAGTGTCAGTCTCAGATTGATGGTATATTAGATATTATTTTAAGTCAATTTTTACCTGAATTGGTGATCTCCCTTTACTCATGAGGAAAATGTTATTAGCTCTTTTAAAACTGGATATTGGTTCAAATCTTGAATGGGGTTATGCCTCTGATACCATCAATCAGAGACAGCCATATCCGTCTTATTATGAAAAGCAGTCTTTGGAAACAATCAGAAAAATCTGAAGTGAAAAAGTAGATGTTCAGCTGAGCTGATAATGTGTATTAAATGGATGACAACTGGTTTGGAGTAAACAAGTTAAAAAACTAAAAGAGCAATATCATCTGTCATATTCAGCACCTGCAATAAAGTGGTAATACAAACTGCAGTGGACATTTTGATTGATTGTTGACTTGCTCTATTTTTTTGACATTCCATGAAAGGTATATTGCAATTTTTTACTGCAAAAAAAAATATGTTTTTGTGTTCAAGTGTCAAATAAAAGGACTTTTTCATTATGAATGGTTCTGTTATTCTTTACCAAGGTCTAAAATTCTGTTCAACTTGTGGAAGGATCATATTGGCACAAGGAGTGCTCGTGTCTACAGTGAAAGATTTGGGGATGTATAGCTTTAAAGAGATTTCAATCCACAACAATATATTGACATCAAAGTCCATTTCAATCTGAACTTTAAATATAATCAGTACACTGCGCTTGCAAAATCCCCACCAAATGTACATATTTAAAGAAACGCTCCAAGCACCAAGCCTGCTATAGTGGTTGTGGTGCCAGAACCGGCACAAAATATTATAGTTTGTCATTTTCATCTGGGGTTTGCTCAAGTGTTCCAGGTTTATTTGCAGTTGATGGGCATTTAACTTTTAGGAGTTAATTTAACTTTTACTTGGATTATCTGCCCTTAATGGCTGATCCTGAGACCTTTTTGAAAGGCATTTGCAGGCTTTCCCACGTGAATTAGCTCGCCTTCTTATCAATTATTGTAGCTTTGCAGCCTAGTTCTGCTAAATTATTTTTTTTTCTTGGATATTTTTGGCCTGTTGCCAAAATTCTTTACATTACTTTGTAACAGACTTTCATCTAAAATCTGACTAAATTTTATGTATTTCATTAGTGCATTGTGTGCAATATGGAGATTTTCTATCTCTATCTTGAATTGTAGCTATTGGTTAATTGTTTCATCATTACACATTTGTTCTCTGTAAAATCCACTGTTTGTTCATTGTGATGTCTCTGAAGAAGTGCCTTCAGGCACGAAGAGAGTATGGCATCTGTACTGTTATTTTCCTCCTCTCAGTCAACATGCCATTTGTAATATGAATTGAAGATCTATATGAAACTGAGATCCAGCATTACTATTTTTGTACTAATTAAGGAGTTGCTTCATATTTATGGAATCCAGCAATTGTCCTTTTAAAACCGGCACCCTCACCAAAGAGTCTGATCAACTACAAGTCCAGTACTCCAGTCTACATTGGATCCAGGGGTCATTTAGTTAGGGTCTCTTGATGGAAAATCTATTACTTTTAAAATAAATATCTCATACTTTTGATTAAACAAGTACCAGCATTGACTCCAAATACAAATAGATTAGTTAACTTTATCCGTTTGGTTGTCAGCAAATATATTATCTTTTTATGAGGATACCCATCGCTGTAAGGAAAACCTGAATCTGTACCACAATAAATCCATAGGCAGGGATCATTCCACCCAGGCGTGCAAGTCAGAGCTGTATTTAAGCTCCCTAAAAGTGTGAGTGTACATTTTTACATTTTCCTTTCTCCATTAAGAATTTTTCAACTTACTACACTATCAGTCCTTTTTGTTTTTCCCTTGTTTGTCATTGCATTCAGTCCTTAAAGGACACTTCAGGTGCTGCACCTTCTTTTCCTGTTTTACCCTACCCCCTATCAGACAAGAGAGATTCTGGTTTTGGTGACTGAGCTGCCTTTGGACTATATCAGTATTGTACAAGGGCTGAATTTTATTCTGTTTTTAAATATATATATCATTAAACACAAATATTACAGGTGCTTCTGCACGAGCCTCAAAAAAATAAATAAAAAAAAAATAAGAAAAAAGAAAGCCTGATAGAAACTTCACAGGAATAAAAGAGAAAAGCCATTGGCCGACTGTGAACA